GTTATAAAAGAGCCGAATCATTGCAATTTTAAACTTTTCTAGAACTTTCATCAATTTAGACCAAATTTTATAGTATTTCTTTTCAATTTTTTTATTAGATTAATTCTTAAAGTATTAGAATAATCTCATCCTTATTTTAGGGTTTGTTTACCTTTATAAATATGACTAATTGCTTTTGGATTATTGATGAATAAATTATTTGATGAGGCCATTAGTTGTTGGTAGCTTCTTCCTTCATTAATCCAAGTTGCGTATACAGAGTGCTCTAAGCTGTGTACTTGGAGTTTGATTCCTATTCTCTCTTACCCGTTCAAGTTATTTATAGTATTTCAAAAATTATGTTTATTTTCCTCTTTTCAAGGACTATCGGGATATCTATTCATTAAACTCTATAAAGTACTTTAAACCCTAGCTCCTTGTCTAGTTGGTCAAGGAAGAACATTATTGTTTGCACTGTGCCTGTTTTGATGTTGACAGCATCATTTTTTAAATGTTGTACTCGGGAAAAATGTTGAGCATAATTTCTTGATCAAATGGAAAGACACCTCCATCATTTGATACATAGATAACAAAAGTAAAAGTGCTAAAGCTTGTAGGTGATCTATTGTATGTAATATTGCTTTTAAATCTAAAGCGTAGTTCCTTTGTGCTCAGGGGAGTTGATGAAGTATATTTTGTGTTAGATATCATTCAACAATATCATTAAACTCAAATCTAGTTTCTCAAATATGAATATTAAGTTAAACCAGGCTATTGAAGAGTTGAATCCAACTAGTTTTTAAGTCTTTCTTGTCCTTTCGTCAATTTAGATCAATTTTATAGTTTTTTTATTAAATTAAATTTGAAGTATAAGAATACTCTCATCCTTTTTTTTGGGTTTGCTTTCGTTTGTTAATGAGATGAATACATTATACGATGAGCCCAATGGTAGTTGGTTGTTTTTTCCTTCATTGATCCAACTTTTGTATGCGGATTGTGCTAAGTTTGTAATTTGAATGTTACTCCTCTCTTTCTCATTCAATAGATTTATTTTATTTCGGACTTTGTGTTCTTTCTTCTCTTTTCAAGGACTATTGAGCATCATATTTATTTAATAAGTTCTATAAAGTGCATCGAACGCAATCCTCCTTGTAAAATTTGTTTAACCTCTTCATAAAACTCTTTATTAGTGATCATATGATTATAACTCCTATTTTTAAGATTAGAGATTAAATGCATTATCGGGGAGCTTTGGAACTTTAAGATTTGCTTATTAATTTTTTCTATCGGAGGGGTTTCTTTTGCAGCTTCTACTTCTATTGAGTTTGTTGTTTATATTGTACTTGCTTACTTCCTTGTTGAGAGCAACATTTTAGGTGCAGTTGTACATAGGAGAAAGGTTGAGCATAAGTTATTGATTAAATGGAAAGGCTCCATCAAATGATACAAATACTTGCAATGTTTAAAATTGCATATTCAGGTATTGAGGCGTTTTTCATTCGTGAGGCGAGGCGTAAGACTTTAGGCGTTTTGAGGCGCTCGCCTCAAAATCAAAAGATTGCGTAAACATAAAATGATAACTTTTTTATATACTAATGAGTGAATAATATAAAATATATAAAAAAAAAACAAAAGATATGAAGTGAAATAAAAATTTCCCAATAATAAGACAACATGAAATATAGTTCAACTCAAAATTCTATCTTTCCCAAATCCCAGTATTCTTTTCATTAACCTATAATTCCAATTTCCAAAAACAAATAGCAATGACATATCACATAAGAACTCATAAGTCATCAACACTGTCATCACTAAGGGGTTCTTCATTTGAATCATCATTATGATGAACTGCTCTCTCCCCTTTCTCCTCTCCTATAGAGTTCAATGTCTGGCATTTACTTCAAGATTTATGTAAGTTTTAATATATGTAGTGTGAGGTGTAAGCCTCATGCCAGTGAGGCGAGGCGGGCCTCAACCAAGTTGAGGCGCAAGCCTCATAAAAAAAACTCAAGGCGTAAGCATCGATGCATTTTTTGCTGAAATTGCACAAAGGCAGGCCTCAAGGCGAACCTCATATTGCGCAATTTTAAACCATGACATATAGAATAAAAGTAGAATTGATGAGGCTGACAGTCTTTCGCTTGGATGATTATTTTATTACTAACTCACTAGAGCGGGGTTCCTCGAGCTAAGGGGGAGTTTATGCAGTATTGTTTTTGTCAGATGATCATTCAACCAAATTAATAAACTTGAATCTAATTTCTTAAATGTGAATAAGAAGTGAAATTAAGTTATAAAAGAGCCGAATCATTGCAATTTTAAACCTTTCTAGACCTTTCATCGGTTTAGACCAAAATTTGTAGTATTTCTTTTCAATTTTTATTATTAGATTAAATCTTAAAGTATTAGAATAATTTCATCCTTTTTTAGGGTTTGCTTTCTTTTATAAATATGACTAATTGCTTTTGGATTATTGATGAATAAATGATTTGATGAGACCATTAGTTGTTAGTAGCTTTTTCCTTCATTAATCCGAGTTGCGTATGCGGAGTGCTCTTAGTTGTGTACTTAGAGTTTGATTCCTATTCCCTCTTCCTCATTCAAGTTATTTATAGTATTTCAAAATTTATGTTTATTTTTCTCTTTTCAAGGACTATCAAGATATTTGTTCAATAAACCCTAGCTCCTTGCCTAGTTGGTCGAGGAGGAAGAAAAAACCTATAACCCTCCATATAACTCTTTATTAATGATCATATGGCTACTACTCATTTTATAACATTGAAGATTTAATGCATTATCAAGGAAGTTTCGAACATCGAGATTTGCTTATGAATTTATCTACAGGTGGGATTTCTACTACAACTACTACTTTCATTGAGTTCGTTGTTTCTATTGCACCTGAGTACGATGATGCAGAGCATATTATTTTAGATGAACTTGTACTTGGAAAAATGCTGGGCACAAATTCTTGATCAAATGGACTATCGCCTCTATCAGATGATACGTAGATTATAAAAGTAGAATTGCTAAAGCTTGTTGCTGATCTCTTGGTTGATTATACTATTGCTAACTCTCTACAGCAGAGTTCCTTGCGGTTAATGGGAGTTAACCCAATATCTTTTTTGTATGATGATTGTTCATCCAAATTAGTACACGGAATTCTACTTTCTCATCTATGAATAAGGAGTCAAATGAGGCTACAGAAGAGCTGAATTAGACGAATGTTTACACTTTTCTAAACCTTTTATCAATTTAGGCCAAATTTTAAGTTGTTTCTTTTTATTTTGTTATTATTAGATAAAATGTAAAAGTACGAGAATAATTTCACCCTGATTTTAGGGTTTGTTTTTTTTTCATCGATAAAGAATGATTGTATGGACTATTGGATTATTGATTATTGATGAATAAATTATTTCATGAGGCCATGGGCGGTTATTTAATTCTTCCTCCACTTATCCAAATTGTGTATGTGGATTGCTCTAAGTTGTGTGTTCGGAGTTTAACTTTTCATCTCCCTTATAATATTTATGTTATCTTGGAATTGTATTTGTTCTCTTTCTAAGAGCTATCGAGCATCATATTTGTTTTATAAACTTTATAAGGTACCTCCAACCAATGTTTAAAATTGCGTATTCGGGTATTGAGGCGTTTTTCATTCGTGAGGCGAGGTGTAAGCCTCAAGACGTTTTGAAGCGTAAGACTGAAAATCAAAAGATTGCGTAAACATAAAATGATAAATTTTTTATGTACTAATGAGTAAATAATATAAAACATAAAAAAGCATAAGATATGAAGTGAAATCAAAATATCCCAATAATAAGATAACATGAAATATAGTTCAACTCAAAATTCTATCTTTCCCAAATCATTAACATATAATTCCAATTTTAAAAAATAAATAGCAATGACATATCACATAAGAACTCATAAGTCATCAGCATTGACATCACTAAAGGGTTCTTCATTTGAATCATCATTATGATGAACTGCTCACTCCCCTTCCTCCTATCCTATAAAGTGCAATGTCGAGCATTTACTTCAAGATTTATGTAAGTTTTAATATATATAGCGTGAGGCATAAGCCTCATGCCAGTGAGGCGAGGCGGGCCTCAAACAAGCTAAGGCGCAAGCCTCATAAAAAAAACTCGAGGCGTAAGCATCGAGGCATTATTTACTGGAATGGCGCAAAGGCGGGCCTCAAGGCGAGCCTCATATTGCGCAATTTTAAACCATGCCTCAAACCCTAGGCTCCTTGCACGGTTGGTCAAGGACGAAATAAAAACTCTATTAGTGATTACATGTGATTTATTAAGCGTTCAACATAAAGGGATGATTACACTTAAAAATACGGTAATAACCCACCATGCATGTTTATTGTAAAACTACATGTGTGACCATTATACAAGGATGAATTGTCTTTAAAATGATTTTTAACAATGTAGAACTCCTCGAATATGTAACAATGTAGTATGATGCAGCACGTGCCATGTCATTTGTCTGCATGCATTTGCATTCGGGGCTATATAAGATATTTATTAGTTGTGTTGTGAACAGCTTGGTAGATGACTAATTGAAATCCTTGCGCTCAATAAATCTTTTAATTTATGAACCTTTTAAAAACTGTCATGTTGGAGAATTTTTGTTGTTCCCAAACGGATTGTATATTTATAATCAAGTACGGCATAAGGAGGATGATATATTACCTCGAATGATAAAAATATCATTTTCTTATCGACTCAATGATAAAATTTACAATTTAATTGAGATTCCCCCATTCAATGTTTGGTTGAATGGGGTTTATTTTATTTTGAGGTACAGATGTCTCATAAGGGCTTGATTAATTACATTTCAAGCTTTGGTGCTTGAGAACACTTTTGATTAAATTAGTGGTTTTTTTTTCTTTTCTTTTAAAACAACGAAAAAGAAGTGGTCAAACAGAAATTATGGTTGTAGTGTAAAAAGCAAAGCATTGAGAAAGCTATCCCGAACGAAGCCTATCAACTTAATTGAGCATTTAGGGCTCAATCTTCAAGTAGATTGACTATTATAGAAGGGTTTTTTGCGAGAGTGTCTCTCTATATGTTTCTCTAGCTTTTTTAACCCCAAAGAAAAATGGCTTTTGATGTATTTGGGTTAACATTTATGCAGTCAATTAGATCATTATAAATACGTATTTGCTATACATATACTAAATGACACGTTTTACTTGTTATCTAAATTACTATAAATTTCAAATACTGATTTGCATCATAAGTACCATGTTATCTGGATTTATCTCAGAGATATATGAAAGACAAGATTCAAAGCACCTAATTGGCTTTATAAATGGTTAGTCAAGCTTTTTAGAATGTTTATGTGCCAAATATTTTCATATGATTCGTGAAAGTTTTGCTTAGACCATTCATTGACTAGTTTCTCCTAGTTTCTCGTGTAATTTGATGATATATTGATTTATAGCTGGACTAAAAGTAAGTATATTGGCTCATATTATCAAGTATTGTTTCAGTTATGATGTGAAAAGTTATACATCAACATTGAAAATGGCTTAGAACCCTTAGAATCACCATACAATCTTTGTAATTGGATTTTTGTTTCCTTTGAAGTAAGAAAAAATTTATTTATTATTCGGTGAATCTATTTTTGTAAGTAAGAAAGTCATCTTCTAGTTTCTTAAGGTATATATTCATTATAGTAAGATTATAAGCTATTGTTTAATAAAGTATAGCTTGTATCATTGCATTTCTACCTCCTGTTTTTCTACAACCATTATTAATCCTCTCATAGCCTATTCTACTAGAGCCTTTATGCATATTCGGATCACCTCCAATGAATATCATTTTCCTAGCAGATGTACTTTATAGTACTTCATCCTTCTCTTTCGAAAATTTATTTTTTTAATTATATTCTAATCCAACTTGAGAAGCATAGGAATCGAGCGCAGATATAAATTTTTGTATCGATTATTATTTTACTAGCAATTATCATACAACTAACCCTTTTAATCACAATAATTTTATCTTTTAAACTTTTCATCCACTATTAGCACAACCCACAACCCAGTCCCAATTGTTAACTTTTCCAACATATAATAACTTATAACCTTGCCAAATATCGTTAGATTTTTCTCCTTAATTTTTACCACAATCAAGTCAATTGATGGTGTGTCACATTGGAGTGGTGTCCTAGGGTTGGTGTCCTAGCTCATCCTTATGTTCATGTGCAATAGTTTTAAGTTTGTATAGCACTTAAGGTAATGTTCGAGCCCATCCTTATCTACTTCTCATCTTAATCAGGTAGGTCATAGTAAGGCACGTTCAAGGAATGCCTAACTAGAAAAATTCAAATCTTGATTCATATATTTATTTTATGCTTGAGTTTTACAATTAGTTGACAGTCTTTTGTCATTTGGACTAGGGATCATTAATGACGATGGTAATAAAAAAACTACAAAAAAAATAATGATAGTAGTAATGAATGGATTGTGTGATGGATGGTTACACCAAGGGACCTAGTAGTCAATAGAATAGTAGAGGCAATTCAGGTGCCTCAAAAATCTGTAGCCTAATCTCCTCTAAAAATCCAGTGATGTCTATAGATGGAGGGCAAGTTGACTTCAACAAAGAGTGAATCAAATTGAAAACTCCAGCCAAGCATGGGGTGGCGAGCTCAGATGAGAAGCATAAACCTGAGCAGAAATTGAAACGTGAAAATTCACATTAAGGTTTACTTGTTGGAACTCGACACTTCATAACCACTAAACTGTTGTATTGTTGTGCTTTTGCCTCTTATTTATTTTAATTATATTAAGCATAAAAGAATTTTTTAATTCTAATGTAGCTATATTAAAATCTATGATGTTTTCTTTTAAATTTCTTAATTTTTTTGACTTATTAATAATCTTTACCCCAAATATAAGTGTATTATGATAATTATTTTATGGTATGAAAATAAATAAAAGTTTTTTATTTTATTTTTTAATTGCAGTACATTTGGTATTATGTCTTTGCTACACACAAGTGAAGCAGTTTATGATTCTCCACTGTCATCTTTGTATAATATACTAAAGTATTATTAGGTTAAAAATCATCTTATTATTTAAAGCACTAAGCAATGGATAATGCAATATTTGAGTAATTTAAAATAAATAAGGGATATCATGCCATGATCCAAAGGAGCAAAAAAACTTTTGTTTGAGAACTTATATGATAGAAAATGTCTTTCGCTCATCGTCAAGCATTATGTGTGCATTGATTGCTATCAACTGTTTTCTTTCATTTTGTCACGATCCGACCCGATAAGTTCAAATTAACGAGGCAGGGTACTATAAAAGAATAATTTTATTAGGAATTATTTAATAAATGCTAATATACTCATTTATTTATATGTACTCCTATACATGAAAGAGATAAAAAATAAACTTCAGAATTTTATCAAAACAATTTTGATGTTTTTGGGATGTGCAAAAAATGAGTTATATTTTTTTAGGATTAAATTTTCATATCGTCTTGTTGAAATTTTGGATATTGTATTTACATACTTTTTTATGTGCCAGATGGATTAGAAAATATATAATTTATACTCCTACATGAGCTGTCTTGTTTTGATATCGTGTTGTGATGAGGACATCAGTAGGAGATTTTGGCGCGTTTATCAGAGGAGGCATCGTAGATCGATGGCCACGATTGGGAGCCTTTATTTTTGAAGCATTTTATGTATTGTTTATTTTATATTTTAGTTTTTCCTATTTTACCCCTATGGGTCGTTAGTCATTTTCTTGATGTTGTAGTCCTGAGGGCACTTTAGTCATTTTCTTTTTGTCATGTTGAGGCATATATATAAGGGCCCCCTCTATTGTATTTTGAGGATGATTTTGATGAATGAAATTCTAGCTTTTGTCTTCTTCAATGTTGTGAGCTTTGAGAGAAGAAAGAGAACCCTAGGTGAGAGTGATTGCAATACCTGTCAGTCTTCGGAAGAGTCTAAGGCTCGAGACTTATCTCTACATTCCTTCCCTGCTTCCACCACCAACCACCCTTCATAGCCCAACCAAATCGCCGACCTTGCCTTCTTGATAAATCTAATTTAGGAAATCCCCATAATTATCTCAAATATGAAATTAAATCTTAGATTTGATTTCAATCACCAATTAAAGTAAAGGGCTCACATACATTGAACCTAGACACTTTCTCTCCCTTCTCATATGGCCGGCCCCTCTGGCTCTTCTCTCTCCAATTTAATCCTTAACCCCTAATTAAATCCCCCATAAATCCTTCCTAAGCCGTCGCCCCCTCTAGCCCTATTTTGGGATAATTTTGAGTTTTAAATTATTCCCTTCCCTCTCTTTGGAAATTTGAAATTAAATTCCAGATTTTCTAAATTATTTACTTCCACCTCCCTAGCCCAAAGTCCAAGAATCCTCCACCTAGAATCCTAGGCGTCCCCCTCCCCCTCTCTACCCAAACCCTCCAAACCGCCAGCTCCACCCCTCCCTTCCTCCTTTACAAGTCGCCGGTCCTCAAGGATCCCCAAGAGAGGAATCTCCTTTATCCATGGATGGCCGATCCTAAAGTAGACCACGGCTTCGCATACAATTCTCAAGGGCAGATAGATATTCTTCAGTCGTTGTTCTTCGACCCCGACTGGGAGATAGAAGACACCGTCGACAATTACGTAGACCGTATACTATTCCACTTAGTTGAGACTATCGACGAACAGCGTCCCTCCGAACAGTTGCAAATCGTCGGGCATTCACCTGCGTCTCCTCCGTTTACCTTCCCGTGGATCAAGACCGTTGGTGTTCTATCTCTTTTGGTTGCATCATTTGGATTGCTGAAATTCTCTTTCCGCTAAAACCTTTCATAGAGCGTGAGTGAGAGGAAAGTCAAGGTGAATGTTCTAAATATTAACATGTGGATTCTTATTACGACATAGTTAGTTTTACTGTACTTTTCTGATATTATTTTAGTTGTTTTGTTTTTCTAGCTTGTAATTGCATGCGACATCAACTTTCAACTGAAAATTCTTAAAGTTAATTCTTGTGATACATTATCCTTACGGCAAGCTTTACAATATTTTATCAATTCCTGTTTGTATCACATCATGTTGTCCTCGAGATGATAAGCCACGTATGTTTTTGTTTTCATTAGGAGCAATGAATTGCTCATTTACATTTTTATCTAATTCAGATGTGAATGTGTTGGTTGTTGCAGTCATCAGATTCTTTGTTGGGCGGTGAATTGTCTTGAGCTTTGAGCAACTAGATTTTGATGAGGCTTTTGGGTTTAGGGTGTTTATTGTCTTATGTTGTTGGGGCTTAATTTAAATATGTGCTCGCTTGGCTGGTTAAACCTTCATTTGGTAATGCGCTTGGCTGGCAGCGGAGTGATTTTTATACCGTAAATTTGAACCAAGCCCTGTAGACAGAAATTTGTTTGACTCATACAACAGCCAAATTGTTTCCAAAAAAATCCACAATTAAGTTCCTTTATGGAAGATCTTTTCTCTTGTTATAGCCACCATTTTTTTATCGGACCTTTACCTATAATTGAAGGCTTATCTTACCATACGTGTGTTATCATTTACATAAATATCCTTAAGATGAGCGACATCCTGAAGCTATACAAAAGTATTTTTGGTGACCTGTGTTTTTGTCTTTATTGAGCGACAACCTTAAGATCGTTTCTCTTGTTGTAGCCACCATATTTTCTTCCTCTTTCTGACCATTGGTTACAATTTATGTTATCCACATGGTACTGTTTTGCATAACAAACTCATTTTTAACATTTGATTTAATATAATCTCCCCCTGTTCATTTCTGGTGAAGAGCCATAACCATGCACTCAAGATCACCATTGTGTATCTTAAGTCAACTAGTCATGCATGCTCCAATATCCGGTTTTTCCTGATACTGGTTTTAGTCACTTTATAATAAAATTTAAGCACTGAAACCAATGTTTTCATGTTGAAATATTGGAATCTTTGTTATTTGATCATATTATGGCAGCAGATCTCATATTAATTCAGTTTTTCCTAAACATTTAAAGGAAAGATTTTTATTGTACTGTTCTGCTTTCCCTTCCTGGTATGCACTGTACCAAATCCATACTGATATTACATATTGAACGGATTGCTCTGAGAAAATGAAATTCTGCACCATTCTTAAATAATAAAATGATTGACCGTGCTTTGTATACACTAATGAAAGTGGGTTTTAGAGTACAAGTTATTTGCATGAATTTGATCCTTGAAGTTCCTTCTTTCATTGCCATATGATGATCATGATGTCCTCATCAGAAATCCTGTTTTTGCTGTTGATAGTTTAGCATGTTCGTATACAGCAAAAATCTACCTTCAAACACCTCATATGGCATGGGAATAATTAGCATTACTTTTTTTTTTAATTTACATAGTTTCTAGTCCGCCAAACATCACTATTGTTTTTTATTGGTATCATCAGCAACGAAAGTTCTTTTATTACTGTTTCTCGTGCTAAATGAACTGTTATTGTCTGTAAAGCCACATGGCCCGTATGCCATTGCATTTTGACAGGCCTTGAAATTTTCTAATTCATCTTGTTAAACGCTTCTGTTTACAATGTTGTTCAGCCATACAAGCTTGTATTGCAGACGATTGAGAGCTGATTCAATTGAATAACAGCATCCTGCTGACGGCATGCTATGGTTCTTGATTATATGTTTCAGTGAGGAAGTAGATAGATTTTTACTTGTTTAAAGACATATCAATAGTTTGTTGTCTGATGTCTTTCCCTCTACAGATACTGCTTTCTTTGGCATGTGGTAGTTCATATATTTGTTGGGTTCCTTTCATGCCATGAAAACCATTATCAGTTGTAATTTCGTTGGTTCTTCTCTGATACTCCTAGAGAGCACTGTTCCTCTCTTTGGTAACACTGGTTTATTGTCCAAAATTTCCTGACAGCTATTTGGTCTCTGAGGCCGCTTTTCTTATTTCTTGTTCACAGCTCAAGTTTCTTGCTGATCTGATTTTCTTTTGCAGAGCATTTTGTTGGTTTAATATAGAAAAGTGCAATAATAGAACCATTACCGAGGGAAGTAGACAGTTTAAACTTTTTCTAATGGATGAAAAGATGAAGAGAAGGATTCCAAAATGGGACGTGGCAGCAGAACTTCATGTGGATACTGTTGGGCATGAAAGTGCTCTGCTGGAAAAAGTTGATGATCCTTGCATGAATCTGACAGTAGTGGATTCCATGAATCCTATCATATCTATGAATTTAGACGGCTCTGACGTAAATCAATCTGCCACTCAGACTGGAGAGGAAGGGAACAACAATATTATACATTCTGATGATATCTGTGAAAAGACCCAAATTTCGGGGCAGTTTGATCTGGAAGATGATTGCAAATATGGTTTAAAGAAGCAAGATTGGGAGCCTGCCTCTCAAGACAGAAACATAGCCGAGCACACTGAGAATCAGGACAAATCACATAAGGCAGTGTATGATATGCCCCTTGATCCTGAAGAAAGGCATCAAAGTACTCGCAATATGTCCCCAGTTGATGACCGAAGAAGGCTGCACAGGTAATTCTTTAAGAAGAACAATGAGTGATAATCAGTTTAGTCTTCTCTGAGCACACACGGCCATCTGGCTAACTTGATACATGACAGTTGGCCATTACTGACAATTCACTAACTTGAGACTTGCATGCATACATTGGTTGGGCCCCAGAGATAAGCTTTATACTTTTAAGTTCATGTACAAAGTGGTTTCCACAAAAGCACATACTATGCTAACATGACTGCATTCACTTTTGGGCATGCATATTTGGACTCGTTTTTGCAAACGTTTATTGTGGGTGACTGGCTGTGCGTGACAGAGTGGAGAGAGTTTTTGCTGTTGGCTGTGTTGGAATGGATGGATAGACATTCTCCCGATTGGTGGAGGTGATGAAAGCAGTATCTTCCCATGGGTATTAGGGCTGATTATGCATAAATTTGTTTCATTAGGGTCATAGCTATGTTGAACATCCCTCCATTTTTACTATCATAGCATGAAGAATGTGCGTGTGATTTATTTTGATTTGTGTTTGGTGCATGTTGCAGATTGCATTTTATTTGGCACTTATGTGCGCCTCATACAAGTTTTGATTTAGTAATTGCTTTGATGTGAAGTGTTTGGTGTGTAAACTTGTTATCATCGCCATTATTTGCCTAATCCTAACTTTTTGCAATGTAAACTGAATACTTGAACTGACCACATTTCTTTGCCGATTTTTTTTTGGATAGAGTTGTCTAATAAGTGATTGTGTTGCGTAAAGACAACTTTGCACCAGATTTGTTGGATACAATTCCCTTCAACACCCGATGTGCCATGTACTTGCTTTGATTGAACTATCAAAATACTATAAAACAATAAAAACTAAAGGGTGGTCTGCTTATGTGATACAATTGGTGGACGTGAGGCATTAGCGAAAGCAGAACATGGTGTTGTTTCTCTTTATTTGCTTAAAAAATTTCTACAAACCCTTCTTTGAAACTTGTTGGAAACATTTATAAATCTCAAGCACATTTTGGGAAAAGATTGGACACAAATCGCTGCATTCTAACTTAGTCAGGTTTCTGATTAATCTTATATTCAATTCTAGGACTATGTTTGTTTCTTTTGTAGTTCTCTCTTCCAAGTTCCAACACATTTTATTCTCTTAATTTATGAATTTTAACCTTGTTGCATAACATATAGATTAGAATCTTTACTTTAAAATTCTAATATTATGTAAAGCAATTTTATTTCTAGCGACTATAGTTACTATGTTTCTCTCTTTGTATAAATATAATATTTGATATAAAACTTGTACATAATAGATTTTTAAACCTCATGCTTTCTGGATGTTAAAACATAAGCATTTTGTGCCCTACTTCCTAAAATTTTTTATGCCCCGAGTCCAAATGTAAGCATGTCTAGTCAGCCTCATGTTTAAATGCTTGCATCATAGAAAACTATTCACTTTCATCCTCTATTGTATAATGTCTTGATGTTGCGAAAGCATTATGCATTAACAAAATTTATTTTCAATAACACAAGGACTACTTGACTTAAGAAGTTGGTAAAGTAATGTTATTGAGTAACAGTTGCCATTGGTCTTGTGGAGTGGTTCTAATGACAAGTCAGTTACCTTCCGGTGAAAACTTACCACACAAAATGATACAGTGAGGGAAGTAAATATTTGGAAAAATGGTTTTTGGATACTTTCTTCTCTCACCATTGATATTCATCTCTGTGGATTTTGTTTACACCTGAGTTTAGTTTTGTGGCTTAATCCAGTAATGCACCACCGAAACTATAACTTGAAATTGCTCATCTTACTCTCCATAAATTTATAATACATCAAATTTGGATAACTTCCAAAATATTTAAGCTATACATCACAGAGAAATAACACTAGTGAATGGTCTACATAGTGAATTAAAAGATTTAATGAATTTATGGTATAGAGTTTCTTCAATCAAATGAAATTTTTTTGAAGGTATCATTCAAATGGTTTCAAATTTTAATTATTGTATGAGAAGCTTTATAGAAGAATTTTTTTTTTTGTTGTATTTTTTTTATTTTCGATTTTTTATTTGAATTTATTCCCGAAAGAATTCCAAAAATTATCTTTCCCCAGTATGGTATGATTGTATGTGTTCACATTTTTTTTTTTTTTTTTGTGCTCACATTCTTCATATTTATAATATGGCATGCAGGAAAAGGAGCAGGAGCAGGAGCCTTTCCCGTGACTCAAGGTCAGATCTGACAGATTTGAGATAGATTGAATTTGTTCTTCCCATATGCTGTAAAATTGCAGCATATTTGCAATTCCTTAAAATTTTTAGATAAAGTTTTACAGGAGCAGGAGCTGGAGTGCGAACCGGGGAAAGAGCCCTTCCTATGTCTCCAAGCAGGGTTCTGAAAGATGGACAGATAAAGGCAGAATGAGAGGAATGAACGAAGCATGTAGAGCTTTTGCAGCTGGCAATTGTAGAAGGGGCAACGAATGCAGATACCTTCATGAAGATGGTTGCTTGAGGCAGATTGACAGGCACCATGATACTGGATTAACTGATGGAAGGGGAATTAGACTTGAAAGAGAAAGACAGCTGGTATATGGAAGTAATGAGACTCTTACTGATACCGAGGAGCGAAACAAATATTCTCGAGATAAACTTTCTGGGATGCATGAGGAACACCACGAAGATGGATCGGCCGCTAACATCCAACACCCCAGTTACCGTTCTAATGAGAGATGCTTTGATTTTATAAGAGGTAGATGTTTCAGAGGGGAAGCCTGCAGATATATTCATGATGATGCCTCGTCTGATGGTGGATGGAGTGTGAAAGATGAATTCAGTGGAAGGGTCCATGATAGAAGGGGTGAAAGTGCATCTTTTACTCGTAGGATACACCATCAAAGGCTTAGTGATATACCCTGCAAGTACTTCTTACAAGGTCATTGCATTCATGGTGAAGGCTGCAAGTTCCTCCACCAGCCTGGGCCACTCAATATTCCTTTAGACAGGTCGCTTGATGGTAGCCAGCATAGTTTTGTGAGTGCTGGCCCAGCTGGTAATAGTACATCAACAAATGCTTCAGAACAGCAACATCAAACTGCTCGATTCAGTTCCACCAATCCTCATCGCGAGAATTTGCGGGGAGTCGGTGATACTCAGCCCATTGATAAGCAAAAATTTTCAAAGAGATCCCTATCTCAGGATGGTCATAAAAGACCCCACTCGTCTGAGCAGCAGGCTACTACATCAGAAGTTTGTGAGGAGCTTTCTGTCAATAACCCCCTTCCTACAACTTTAATAGCTTGCCAAAATGCTGATAGTAGGGGACAAAACCAATCTGCTCCTAAGATTTTGCATGCGCAAAACCACTTTGCCCCTCCGATTCCTTCGAAAGGCCAAATGCTACAAGTTATGCACTCCCATTATCAAAATGGGAAAAATCAATTTGCAGCTCTTGAAAAGCCTCCAGACGCTCATTCCTTCAACGCCAACATCCAGAATCGCTCTGCTAATCCTTCTTCTCATCAACTAAATCCACAGAACCTAGATTCTAGAGCCCAAGTTCAGAAAAATATTTCTATTCTCTCAAATAGTGGCAGCAATTTTAATCACAATGGGCAAATCCAGCAGAATGGACCACTAATTCTTGTCTCTCACAGCGGACTCGGCCAACAGGAAATTGCAGGGGATTCTCAGAATGTTCTTCCTCAAAACGTGCAAAACCAGGTGCAGAATATCCCTGCATATATTTCAAATGGGCAGAATAACCTCATTGTGGTTCCTCAACCTTCTTTAAACCCACAGATCCTCAACTCAGATGATAAGAATTGTCAATTAACAATGAAGAAACAGCTTCCTCATGATACCGATTCATCAGAGGTGAAACCCTCTCAGTTCAATTCTGATAATTCAATTACTCAAAAGGTTGTAACCATCGAGCAGGCTGCCAAAATAACAGACCTTTCAGCGTCCTTAGCACAGTTCTTTGGCTCTGCTGCACAAAATTCACAATCCTCTGCTGCAATAACGCCTCAGCCATTCCTGAACCCTAACTCCCTTGCTTCTTTTGCGACCCCCATAGCTCCACCACTCCCAACTGAAGTTGATACTAAACAGATTGACGATAAAACAGAAGCTCACGGAACTAATGGCGAAGCAGAAAATGGGAAGGACGTGGATACCAAAAAAATCAAAGAAGCAAAAGAAATCAGGTTGTTTAAATGCGCCCTCGTTGAGTTTGTGAAGGACGCACTGAAGCCTAAATGGAAAGAAGGTCAGCTTAGCAAAGAAGCTTATAAAACTATTGTAAAGAAGGTAGTTGAGAAAGTGTGTGGTTCCTTGCAGGGACCAAATGTCCCTCAGACGCAAGAAAAAATTGATCTTTATCTTTTAAATTGTAAAGCCAAGCTTACCAAGCTTGTACAGGTGAGTCCAATTCATTCCAGTTTCCTTTCTCAAATTTTCCACCTTATGGTTTTTGTAATGGTCGTCGTTGGGCTGTTCTCAACAGGCTTACGTGGAAAAGTTTGTCAATAGCTGAGGCAGCAAGATAGGATAAAATGGCTTTGAAATATTGGCTTGGCCCTTTAAGAAAGCTCTCGATCTTGCGATGCGCGCATGGCGAAGGTGATCTATGTAGTTCTGTACAAATATTTGGGGCCTGGTTTTTGTTAATAACAACTATTTCATATTTGGTAAGATGAAGTAGCTTTGCTTATTCTTAAAATATTTGCTAACGAATTATCTGCAATTTCAGTGATCTTTGAAGTTTCTCTGCTAAGGAAAAAAAATGGCTGTATATCTGTGTTAGTTTTAGTGCATGGCAGCATTGTAATTTATGGCAAGTGTGTTTGTTAAATTACGATTTGCATGAGGCTTGCAAACTGGTCAGTTTTAAATAGTTCAAATTCAAATAGATGATGAATTTTAAATATTTTATAATTTAACTCTATTTCTTTTATTTGAAAGAAAGCACTAATATTTTTAAAATTATTATATTTTAAATATTTACGCTCATTTTAGTTTAAATCAAACAATAAAAATGATTTAATATTGAGTTAATAAGCCTGACTGATATTTTAAACGCAAGTTCATATGTTGCCTTAATACTTCCCATGATTTTTGAATTACATCTTGGAAGTACTAAAATTTTATGAGGTTTTTTAACCATTATTGTATTGTAGTTGCTGACATGTAGCATTTGGCTTTGAAACACAAAGCAAATGTGCTTGATTTGAATCACAAAAATGGTTTAGAAAATGAAAAATCTAATAGAAAAATAAATCTTTAACAATTGACAAAAACATGCAAATCTTAATTTTTATCACATTATCTTATTATAAAAACTCCTAAATCTAAAGAGTTGATTCTCTCTCTATCTATAAGGGCTAAAGGCGTTGCCCGTTACAAATGTTTATCTGATGAATTTGCTCTATTTAAGGGTTAATTTGTATTTAGACGATTAATTTTCTTTTGATTTGTTGGATTATTTTTAAAATTGCATTATCATAATTTAAGCTTCAAGTAATTTGCTTTATGATTGGAATGTATTTTTATAATAAAGATTTCATCCATTGAGATTTAATATTAATATAGTCATCATTGAGGAAATATTTCTTTTATCATTTGTATTCATAGCAAATTTCAATTTAATTATTTTGCAATTTTACATGTGAGTTAATTTGCATGCACATATTTTAATATTTTGACGAACACTTATTTATTTACATTTTTTCACACTGATATTTGGATTGACAGATCTCCTAATAGAATAATTCGTATATATAAATAGATGCAATATTTTACACATCATAATAATAATATTTATAGGAACAATAAACTCGATACAAACTCATACAATTTTTTTTTATCAAAAACCATTATTAATTGGCCATATTTACAAATTACATATTAAAAATATAATTCTTATTATATATATATATATAAGTAAGATCAAATGTGTTTATGAGAGAAATTCTCTAACAATATTTGTCATATATATAAGATAGCATTTATATAAACATATATTTCTTATGAAAAATAAAATTAAAAAAAGGAACATTTATATAAACATGAAAGTTAAATTTAATTAATTTTTAAGAATGGTAATTAATAAATGTTTGAGTAATTTAATTCTTGAGCCAAATGCCTAGTCGAAATATCACTATGATCCATTCTCAAACAATCTCTTGCCAGTAAGGACGTGGTACGTGTCCTCTAACCGGCAGTTTCGCCGCCAAATGGCACTGCAGGTAAACGGTTATGACCCGGGGCCCTCTGAACCGAGTGGTTTTGCCGCCAAATGGCACCACAGATAGCGGTTATGGCCAGAGCCAATACGCTCCTTAATGGCGTTAAATCCTTGAGATATGAATCAATAGGATATGATTGATAGGGCACAAAGCCCTCTGTAAGCTAAGGTGGATTTAAATTTGTCCCCTTAGACAAACATCAACCCCGGTCTACAAGGTTCCCTTGAACGAAGCAACCCATGGCTGCCGACAAGGATCCTTCTGTCAGGTTGGGTCGACTACCTCCTCTGACTAAGTAGACTAGGGACCACGATGGCCCGGGATGACGGAACCATGGGATCTTGATCGGGCCCATCATCCATTCCCCCACCATCCGCTTTAAGTACTAGATGGTGAAATTTCTGTTTTAAATATCCAACTTCTCCAAATTCTAAATCCAAACCCAATTTCCAAATACCTATCCCTATGCTGCTACTATATGCCAGATAACACGTATTCTATACGTATCTGATTGACGACTAGCCTTAATCGAAAGTTCTCTCTCGTGATCGGGAGGGGTAATTAACTATAGGGGCTTGCGCCTATAGGAAACCAGAACTCAGATCATAAAGTCCTCGCAAAATGAGGGCGAAATCTCTGGGTAGTGTCTTATCTACAAACCCATCTGCCTTCCAAAATTTACCTCGGAACTTAGTTCGTTAAAACTCCCTCGCCGAATAAGAAAAGCGAGCGGAGGCCGGGGACGAATTTTCGGAGCCCACACCAAGATGGCCTTTACACTTTGTCTCCATTCATTCCCTTTCAAGTGCTCCTTGGCAAAGAAAAATCCATCCATAATAAAGGAGATGCTTGAAAGAGCTTCTTCTTCATAGATGTGGACCAGTGGTTGTTGTGATTCAATGGATAAGTTATCATACTATAAATATATACATATATATGCTCAGATAGTAGCGACTAAGGCCATCATTATGGAAGACCCAATGTAATGTAGCCTGAGACATCTATAGGTTACAACAAGATTAATGTTGCCCTTGGATATTGATAACCTAGTTAGAATGTGGTACAAACTTCATCTCTCTAATGACTGAGGGCCAATGCATCCTGTATTGGATTTCAAGAAGGTTCGAACAAAGCAAACTCATTTTAAGAAAATTCAAAACAATAGTGTAAACTTTCGTGTACATGCTTGTATGATGATATACATAATTGTGAACACAGTACATTACAATGTTGTATATAAAGACTTATGGTGAATGAGACTAAGAAGTTCATATGAATGAAAATTTTAATATTACTTTGTTTAAATAATAATGCCTTTGTGATAAGTACACGTATTTAATCCTATAGTATATATGAAAGAAATTATATGATCCTGGATTGAAGGAACGATGATTAATATAATATAATATGATTTAGTTGAGTTTCACTTCAACCATTCTACTCAGCACAATCTAATAGTATAAGGGCTATACGAGGCTTGGCGAGCAAGATGCATGAGAGATATCGGTGCTAATAGATCTCTTTAAAATTAGGCATGCCCTGTAAACAAATAGAATAAGTTTTCTTTCTATTCTCTCTTTTTGGGTGGGGGAGAAAACCCTTATCTCTCCTTAGTGAATTAGATGGTGAACTTCTAGCATTAGTATCTTGGTGAAGAGAGTGTAGGTAATGCCTATCCTAACATTCACCTTTTGAAAAAAGAAAATAACATAGGCATACCTTTTTTCAATCTGAATTTTCTTCATAATCTCCATAAGCACTACATAGTCAAATAAAATGTTGGAATTTGGGTCTTTATTAGTTTAATTTATTAGCAAACTTTGAATTTATATAAAGAAGATTTGAAGGTCATTTACAATGCCAAAATTCTTAAGGCTTTGTCATAATTGATGGGAGTAAATCATGGATACCCCATGACTAGTCATAATTGTCTACCACATAATTTTCTAATGACATTGATCTAGAAAGAAGACTCTTATAAAATAAAATAAAAATTTTAAATCATAAAATGTAATAAATTATCTGAATAAGTACCACTTTATTTCATGCTATTTATATATCTAACATCTAAAATTTTAATATTGCATGTCTATCACCCATAAAATAAAAATGGGTGCATGGAAGAAATATTAAAGTTTATAGAGTGATATGAGTGGTAAAAATAAAATATATGAGTGATATATTTGATATTAAAATTTTATATGAGTGATATAAATATAATATTAAAATTTTAGATGTTAGATATATAAATAACATAAAATAAAATTGCATGTATGTAAATTCACCTTATTTGAAATGATTTCTACGTGAAGTATAATCGAACTGACCTTATTACTACTCAAGTCCAATTTGTATACGTGACTATCATTCAAATTCGATGGACCTGAATAACTCAAAATTAACTCAATAACATTTTAAAATTCAAATTTAAAAAAAATTTAGAAACCCGTTATAAAAGCAGATGTATAGATTATAAGATTAAGCACATCATAATTGAATTAATTGGGTTATATTTATCCCAAAAATTGCATAAGCCATAAAATAAATAGGTTAGATAGGGTTAAATTTGGCTTTAAGTCGAGTTTGGGTGAAGCATTTTAGCCTATACAATCAATAGATCATGTTCAGGTCTGATAAATTCGAGACAGGTCAACTTTGAATCATGCTCAAACACAATTCATCAATCTGAATTGACACCCAACTACGGCTTTGTATGGGTCGGCTTTCTTTCTGCTTCTTAAAGAAGGTTCCTAATACAAAAATTTTAATTTTTGTACTAGGAAACTGCTTTAAGAAGTAATAAGAAAGCTGTCCCAAACGAAGTCTAAATCAATTTCGAAGATCAATTCTCTTCCAAATTATAAACCTCAAGTCATTCCAATACAAATTTCTAGCAATATTGAATCTGAGCAGTGTTTAAGGCTTTGTTTGGAACAACTTTCTTTCTGTTTCTTAAAGCAACTTTCTAGCATAAAAATTTTAATTTTTGTATTAGAAAGCTGATTTATAAAGCAATACAAAAGCCGTCCCAAACGAAGCCCAACTGAACAACAAACATGAAAAGATATTTTGAACTTCATAAATCTGATTAAACTTCAGAGCAACATAGTCAATGAGGAGAAAGTAGCCCAACCTGATTGATAAATAAAGCCATCTTATTACAAGTTCATCATTCATTTTCAATTATTTTCAAAAGATCCAACCAGTCTAAGGTGCTTGATATCTTCGGATATAAGTGACAAGTTTACACTAAATCATAAAACCTGTGATCACAACCTTGAGCTTCTCCGAGTGATTTTTTCTCAAACAGAGATGGTTTCTTCCTGCTGTTCATTAATCCAATTTGCAATGGCTAGAGTGTGGCGTCCACCACAGGCGACGAACTTCACAAACCATCGTCCATGGCTGCCGGTGCTGCTGCTTTTGGGAGGTGGAAGGTTTATGGTTACTTCCATGGGATGACCGGTCGTAACCTTACGGCCGTATCCCAGTCGTCCATGGTCGCCTCGCCCAAACTAACAATGAAGATGATAAATGAGTTAGAGAGAGATCCATGATTGAAGGAGGCCAAAGCTTAGAAAGTAAGAATTTTTTTAGTGAAGAACTAAAACTTGGTTAGTGATATTGTAGTATTTGATGCAATAAAGACTTCTACGTTGTAGAGAGATGTCTATGTGACTTAAACCCTTATATTTCAAGTGATAATATTAGCAACTTAGACTTTGTTTGAGACGATTTTCTTTCTGGTTCTTAAAGCAGCTTTCTAGTACAATTTTTTTTAAATTTGTACTAGAAAGCTTCTTTTAAAAGCAGAAAGAAAGCCGTCCCAAACGAAGCCTTGAACACATCTTCTATGTTACATGAGTCTCCCAAGTTCAAAGAGAGAAAAGTCAAAATAATCTCAGTATTTTTTATGAGGAGCTGTTTTAGTCTCATAGTATTTTATATATTTAATTTACTCCATTGATTCCTCCCAAAAATCCCTTAATTCTTCAAACCTGATCTAAAATAATTCAATAAAAAAATTGTTCTGGATCATGTTTAAGATGTGAAGAAATTAAGTTGACTGCATTTATAGTCTGAGACTAAAATAATCCCAAATGAATATTCTATGCTCCATTTTAATCTTTTCTCCAAGTTCGGATGAGTATATCAGAGATTGTGCTAATTGATGCTAAACAGAGCCTTGACAAAAGAGAATAACACATCTCTGAAACATAGTAAAATTTTTTTTTTTTTGGGGGGGGGGGGGGGGGGGGGGGGCATTTGTCATGGGGGGGGGGGGGGGGGAGGGAATGTACTTATCTCCATGGAAAAAAGCCGTTAGCACTGAAAGTTTAAAACTTATGCAAAGCTCAGTATAGCTACAGCGAAGAAGACTTTTAAGCGAATACCCAAACCAGAAAGATTAAATCAAGCTCGAGGTAGCAACGGTCAGGAAAAAAAAAATAGCACCAAAAGTACTGTAATTCACCTCAAAATCCATTAGCAAATGATAATTCTTTCAAATCAATAATAAAGATTAATATGGAAGTAGAAGTTTTCGCTAACCCGTGAAATGCCTTTTGTTTTGGGGTTTTTTTTTTAAAACTGTTTCCAAACATGGCCGATTTTTTGTGAAAATAGAGCAAAACAGAAATGAGCATATACGTGAAAAGGTTGGAGTAGCGTCAATGGAAGATAAGATTAGAGAGAGTCGCCTTAGATGGTTTGATCATAAAACAGCGGCCTTCCGATAACCCGGTTAGGAAAGTAGAGGAATTAGATATGACATGTTAAGAAAGAAAGAGGTAGACCTAAAAAGTCTTGGTTAGAAAATATTAAAAATGATCTTTCTTTATTAGATTTAAACGAGAATTTGATTTTTAATATGACATAATGGAGAAAAATGATTCCTGTAGCTGACCCCGCGTAGTGGGACAAAGGCTTGATGTTGTTGTTGTTGTTGTTATTGTTGAGAGCAAAATAGAAAGTTTGCTAGGCCAACTAACCCCAAGCATGCATACAGATAAACTGGGCAACAAAACTTCATATAGTAGCTTCACAGCTTCTACATAAAAAAAATAATTAAATTTATAATGTACAAGCCATGTGATGAAAAGCATATAAAACTCACCGAAAACATTCTCCCATCGCGTGTTAATGCAACAGAGTGGGTACCTCCACAGGACATCTATATAGAGAATAACTATGTTAATTAGTCAAAAGTTTTCAGAGAATAAATAGTACAGAAAAGCAAGTGGCTATCTTGACCCACAGATATAAAGGAAGATATAACTATACAATGAAGCGCTATTAGAAGAACTAATTTGGTTCACTGCATCGTGCCATTTTACTAGGCTGATTGATATTAAGGTTTCTTTTGGACAGTTTTCTTATTGCTTTTGAAAATAATTTTTTAATTAAAAAATTAAATTTTTGTACTTAAAAACTGCTTTAAAAAACAGTAAAAAAACGGCCCCAAACTAAGCCTAAATCAAGTTCGAGCAAGTCTGGCTAAAACTCCAAATTGAATTTTTATACTTCCAGTCCCATTCGAACTTGATATATAAGGAATATAGTACATATTATACATATTATATGTTGTATGTGAATATTCATTTTGGTTTATATTTCAAGTTAACTTAAAATTAAAATTGAGTCAGGAGTGAAGCCTGAAATCGCCCCAACTCAGTTTCAGGTCAAGTTTCCAGTAGTTTTCAAAAAGTTTCTAATTTGAAGCTCTTTTTTTTTAAACAGCCCGGCATTTAACGAACAAAAGTTTTACCTGAACGATATCTTCTCCAGACAAAAGTTGGACCTTTTGAGGAACCATTTTGCTACTCTTGTCATCTCCAAACCCGAGCCTTCCATGCTCTCCTCTCCCCCAGGCAAATACCTAAGTGTAAGAGAGAAACATAAGCCCTTTTTTAACCTAACATGCATGCAAGGGATCATGAACACACATTCTGAGAAATAAGAATGCATTTACTCAAGTTAGGAGCTTTTCATTGGAAATATTTCTGCAGCTAATGAAACAAAATCTCATCAAGGAGTCCATCATAACCAAGCTAGAATTTACTCTGGCGGCTTTTACAACACAAAGATGATGAGAGGGTGCTCATAAGATTAAATAAGATATCAACATTTGTCAACATAAAATAACAAAGTGATTGAATGCTTCATATAGACAACTTATGTTTCATAAGCCGCTTAATTGTTTCTTTAATAAGATATTCCTGATGCAAAAATATTGACATTCACAAATTGAAATCTTCGGTCATTTTATTTTCTGCTCACCTTAATCCTTTTGTTCTGTTAATAAACAAACTTAGGTGTCTTATTTGTCTCATTAGAGATCCAATTCAGTATAAGATGCAGGATAGTTTTGGGTTAGGTTTCTTAATGCACCTAATATGATATTTTCACATGAAGGAAAATAAATTATTCATATATCACTGGTAATCAACCATTTTTTTAAACTAAAAATAGATGTTAATAGAGTTTAAGCCCAATTGATAATAAAATGATAAAAAATATCTAAGAATTTCAACAAGGCATTGTCAAAAGATTTTCTTTTAAAAGTTCTTACATGTCAGTTTTGACTAGTTAGTTAAAGGCTCCCTTCCTGACCACTCTCTTTGCCTCTCCATGCTCATCTGATAAATTTTAGCTTGACTAGTTAATTTCATTTTGGCATCACAGTTATAGTTTTTTAGACATGATTTGGCATTCAAATAAGTTGATTATATCTACTAACTAGTTAAAGCTTTAGGATCAAATTTCTTATTAATAGTTAATACTTCCAACTTCAACTTCTATATTTTCCATAAGAATCATTGTCGAAGGAACTAATATGTAAATCAAGATATTCCCTTTTCTCCTATCAAAATTAACATTCAAGTGAATTGCTTTATCATTATGATTGAAATCTATTTCAAATTCATACATTGAACTTGATTACCTTCCAAAATTGTAATACTTGATTTAATTAGATAATCACAAATTTAATTTTGTTTATTTAACAAGTCATTCAATTGTTTTTGTAAAGTAGTTAGAATTCCATATCTATCACGATCTATTTAGGTACTTCGATAATTAACCTTACTTTTAAGTGACATAAAAATTTAATATTAATTTTACATAGAGCAATTAAGTTTCCTTATTCAACCAATAATGATGAGTGATGCTTTCATGCAAAGAAACTAGAAGATTCACAAGTCATCAATAATCAATTACTTCAATGGCTTTCTCCAAATGAAAAAAATATGATATTTAAGTTTAAGTCCAATTGATAACGAAGTAATTAAAAATATCAAAAAGTTTAGCAATAACTTAGAAATAAATAAAATAAAAAAGCAGAATGAATTATGTTCCATAAATTAGATTTCTAACATATCATTGTTTGAACAAAATCAAAAGCACCAAACAAGCAATAATATATTATATAGATGAACAATGGTGATGAATGAATTTACCAAAGCAATAAAAACTAGGCCTGATATTGAGACATAAGGAGATGAATTCCATTGGAATCAAATGGTTGCACTTATACTTCAAAGGAATCACATATGCAAATTTTACTTACAAAACAAAAAATCAAGAAAACAAAATTATTCAAGCCAAAAAGTATGAATTACATACCTCATATCACTTTTTTAGACTCCTTATAACATAGGCTAATAGATAAAGTTGATAAGATCAATTCCAATTTAAATTTAAGTTAATTTCATTGGATAAAAATATTTCCAATTTGAATTTGAAATATCCATCAAATTTTAAATTTGAATTTTCAAAATTAGCAGCGCACACCAATCAAACTAAACTTGCACAGAAAGGATGACTAGAACTTTTGGAAGCCCACACAGGACCCATAGCAGCACCAACTAATTTAATTCCATAAATGATAAAGCCAAAACCAAATATTAACAAGACCAAACAACACCGCCTACTCTTCATTTTTTTTTTTGCCTTTTTTAAATGAATAAAGCCAAATTCCAATGCATAATTTAAGCTCATCTAAATACCGCCACCCAAACAGTAGCAGTCCCACATTAATATCTCTTTTAGAAGCTTGAAATACAAAGTCTTGAACATGCCCTAGCTTTGTGGTTTCCTGCCTCACCTTGAGGACTTGGCTATGCTACTGAGCCCCTAAACCATATATTTTTTCCTTCTGGCCTTTTTAGGATTGAAGGAATCGAAAGATAGGAACTAAAAAAAATGGAAATAGAAACCATAATGGAATTGAATTGAAAGGTGGGAACTGCAAAGAAAATAGAAATAAAAATGTTAATGAGATTAGTTTTAACCGACATGTTTGTTGAGAATAAATAGAATGAAAAGGTGATTTCTTTTTTAGTTTAGTTTGATTGAATAAAGGAATCATCAATAAATTGAAGAGCAAAGATAACCTCCATACTTCAATTTTACTTCAGATTTTCATAGGTTTTCAGCAAAGAATATTAAATAGAAAGAGAAAAGGATTAAAATGATCCATGACTGTTTATAAAAGATAAAAAAAAAATCATCAACTATATTAAAGGACAATTTTGATCCCTCAATTTCTTAAAAGGCATCCCCTTTTAAAGACTTGAGGGACCAAAATGGTCTTTTAATATAATTGAGGATCATCCTTCATAAAGAATCAAGGTATCATTTTGATCCTTTTCTCTCAATAGAAATATGCATATATTTTATTTCTTTGATAAAATAAATTTCTTATGCAAAACAAGACATTTCACCCACCCAACCCCCTATAATTTTTAAATGACAGAATACTATTTTATGTTTTTAGAAAATCAACATAACTCCATTAACTCTATGATGCACATCATATATGTACACTCACCATTCAATTTCTATGAATATAACCTAGATTAGAAATTAAAAAAAAGTTTAAAATATCCTTAATAGTTTAGTAATTATTCATACTATTCAGTACTTTAATTCGTTATGACCTCATATGTTTTTTAATATGCTTCTTGCTTCTTTAATAAGACACTTATGGATATTCCCAAGTTGAAATCTGGAAAATTTCTTTTTGTCTACTTTCTTTTACTGCTTTTATTTTCTAAATTAACAAAATTTTTGTTGTTCATTAGATGTCAAATTCAGTATACCACTAAGTAGAATGGAAATCAAAGTTTTGAAATTTCCCTAGCTTTATAGTATCCTGCCCCACCTTAGGGTATTGGCTATGCTATTGAGTCCCTGCAGTTTCTCATGGACTTGTCCTATCATGAATATTGGAAAATGAAAATGCAGGAGAGAGAGTTTAAACCAACCCCCTATCATTCAAGAGAACAATGTTTTAGACTTTTGAAAACCAGACAGCCCAATTAACCCTATAATGCATCCATCAATAATTTCTTCAATCGTCATTTCTATCCTATGAATATGCTCTGATTTAAAAGCACAAAATTTTCATTCTCAAAATCACCTTTGCAGCTTAATAATTATTTATGCCAATTAGTTATTGAATTAGCTATGACCCCTGATGATTTTCATAAGCAGCCTACTTCTTGCTTCTTAATTTAGACATCCTTAATGCATACATGCCGAAATTCTCAAATGTAAATTTTTGGTCATATTCTTTTTGTTGACTTTATTTTATTTATCACATCAACTTGTCATGATTTTTTTTTATGATTATTCGACAATTTTTATGCTGGTTGTCGGCTACCTAATGCAACCCTCCACTTTTTCATCTAGGACTTGAGGCTTGGCAATGACAGTGTTATTCATCACATGAACTTAATTTACAAAATCCGGGTTTTTATTTTTATCATTGGAGATCAAGATGAATATGTTTCCCAGACTTGGCATACAGGGCCTGAAGCTTCCTGCCACACCTTAGGATCTAGGCTATGGCATTGAGTGTGCTTTCTCATTGATTTTTCTGTCACAAGAATATTGGCAAACCAAGATAAAAAAAAAAGATAAAATTTCACCCAACCGACTCCCTCTAATTTTTAAATTACAGAACAGTAGTTTGCAGTTTTAAAAAAACAGACAGCTCTAGTTGACCCTATAATTCACCCATCAAATATTTAAATGGCTATTTGTTTTCTAAGAATATAAACTGGTTTAAAATTACCAATTTCCATGTTTAAAAAAACTTTCGTAGCCAAATAATTATTAGGAGATTCATATTAATACCACAAAATTCTTATTTATTTGTATATCAAACAATTAAATTTTTATATTTACTTACATAAAACTCAAATCTCTAAATCACATAAAAAAATATCACAAATATTAACTTACCTAAAGTCCAACACACATTTTCATGCATGTGCTTTAATGTGATTTAGACGCTAAAGTGGCATACAAATAACTATATAGGTTTAGACATTAGATATATAAATACATAAGAATTTTGTGGCATGTATGTGATTTCCCCTAATTATTAATGTCATCTAGTACTTTAAGCCTCTTTGTTTTTCTCATAAGCCACTTCTTGCTTTCTAAATTAGATGTTTTTACTGTATAAATAAGATACTCGGAAATTGAACAATCTGGTCATATATTTTTTTTTGTTGACTTTCTTTTACTCTCTAAATTCTCTAAATTAACATTATTTTATAATTTTGCTCATTAGAAGGTCAAATTCAGTATTTCTCTAAGTAGCTTGGCATAAAAGTCTTGTACCTTTATTTATGGGTTTTTGCCTCACCATATGGTATAGCTATGCTAATGGAGGCCATGTATTTTCTCTTAGATTAGTCCTACCAAAAAAATTCAAAAATCAAGACAAAAAATGTAAAAAAGCTTCTCCAGCCAACTGTAGAAAAAAAACAATTTTCAGTTGAGTCCGCTGGAGTACCTCCTTTAAAAAAAGGCCTAAAAGTAGTGATTCAAAACTTTGAATTCAGATAAAAAGGCATTTGGTCGTAATAAAAAAAATCTAAAGCTACATGAAAATCTAATAGAAAATAGGTGCAACATGTAATGGTTAGATTATACTGTGACCAAGTGGCCAAAGGTTTGAATCACGAATACAAATTCCTCTAACGCACGTGTAAGATATTAAGATTGCATAAATCATCTTCTCCTTAGGCTCCAAATTTGCGAGAGCTTCATGTGCTTAGTATGCCCATGAAATTCAAAGCATATCTGTTGACGTATGTATAGATTATTTGTGTTTCAATGGTGAGAGGGTTGATTTATGTGATTTGTCTAGATTATTTGTGGTTCAATCGTTAAAGGGTTAATCTATGTGATTTTTTTACTTTCACCATAAAATTGAAAAAATAATATAATTTTCTAAATTCAACATCCATATTTAGTCGATCAACACAAACTTCATTTGCTTTGGTTTCTTTCATTTGATATGGAAATGCAAATAGCAAAACCTCATTTATAATGTTTTGATTTATAGATCACTCCAGTTCTAAATGAAGAAATGCCACAGTACTGACAAAGCCAATGGTACTGGACAAGAAAACAGTAAAAAGCACTCGGATACCTGAAAGTTTTGATATCCCAAATAAACTGATTTTCCAGTATACATTTTACTAGCTACCTATGAAAAATAAGTAACTTACAATTTTGGGTTTTATATAAGTACGTGAAATAGCAGAAAGCATACCTCTCCACTGTTTGTGATTGCAATGGAATGCCAACCTCCAGCAGCAATGTCAACCTGGAATTTTAAATGTAAATGCCCTCAATAACAAGGATTAACCATTTTTTTAAAGAATATTTTAGAAAAAGTGGAAAGCGGCCTACACATGAGAAACTAGAAAAAATGGTGTTGGCAAGGTACTAAGTACACTCCACAAAATAAAAAAGAATAAGGAGAATAAGGGAGATTAAGGCTTCATTTGTGACGGCTTTTTTTACTGTTTCTTATAGCAGCTCCTAGTACAAAAAAAATTAAAATTTTTGCACTAAAAAGTTACTTTAAGAAGCAGTAAAAAAGCCGTCCCAAACGAAGCCTAAATATCCAAAAATGCCTGTCATAATATTTATTTATACTATGTCACACGAAATGTTACCATAATTTCAAAAACAGGATAATCAACTGTCATATTAAAATAGAAGTTCTTATTATCACCATACATGATACAGCTTGAAAAATTGCCCAGGTAGTGGCAAAGCTGCACATCCTTAGGATTGAGCCACAAAGTCCAATTAAACACCAATTAATACTATTGTTTGAATTACAGCAGATGTATAACTCAAGGAGGTAAATACAAACTAGGCTGATTGTAAACTTTATGAGGACACTAGCATGATCTAATCTTGAGCGACTATGAGTCCATGGGCGTCATGATCCAGATTTAATAAACATACGGTCTAGAACTGCTGTTCTCTTTGAAAATTCTTAATAGCATCTGTCCCTAATTTTCTCAATGTCATATTGTTATATTACAAGAATCCTAGTTATGTTTAGACCATTAATCAATTTAAGTGACTTAACCTTAATATTATCTACTTCTGTTATTTAAATGATATTTTTGTTGCCAGACCAATAAGGAAAATCTTTAGGATATATAAGATTAATCTGTCTGCTATTGATTCCCTAGGCCAGATGTAAGTCCATGCGTCAACATTCTCTACCACATTGAGAAGATAGATAGGTCTTCTCGGTCACACACAACCAAGAAGTAAGTCTCATTTTAACATCTCTTCTACCAGATTGAGGTGATGTCCGAACTTATTTTATCACACATGATTGAGCCATAAGTCTCAATCTTTGAATGTCTTCTCACATTAAAGAGATATTCAAAATCATACTCCCTCCATGTCCTCTCTACTACATTGAGGAGACGTTCATATCTATCCCATCTTCTTTACCACGCTGAGGTGATATCCAAATTTTTCATATTCATCCCATCTTCTCTATAATATTGAGAAGATGTTCGGGCCTTCTTGATCTCATACGATCAAGTTATAAACCACATCTCAAATGTAGTCTCCACCACACAGAGAAGATACACATCTTTCCTATTGATTAGCCTAAGAGCCTAGGTAGCCTTATCAGACTTGGCAGGTAGCCAGGTACTACCACGCGGTACTATAAGTTTAGTCTAGGTTGCTCTCTCATACGGTAGTGGAGCATAATTCCTATATGTTAGTCTAGGACTAGATCCAGATCCTTGGTCTATTAGGTCCTCTTGAATGAGTAGCTCATGGTTGCTAACAAGTATCCTTAGGTCACCACTTGGCTAAATAAATTATGGGCATCAACAAACTCGAAACCATGGGATCTTAACTAGGGTCGTTATACCCATTTGTTAGTTAGTCCTCACTTTCTTATCATTCACTCATTGAAACTTTCATCTTATCAAACCTACATCAATCATTCCCGATTTGAACACAAGCATTGACTTCTTAATGAAAAGTATTTTCGGACACATCTGATATGTAATTAACCTTAAGAGCTTACTCCTTTTAGAAAACTTCGAACCCATATTTAAAATAAACATTGTTTGGAACCACATTCCTTGCAGGGAACATCTCTAGAATATCTAAAATTAAGCTACCTTCCATTAATCCCCGTGGTCCTATAGAATGCATTGATCAACTACAATTAATCCTCTACTGCAATGCTACGAGCGCCTTCTGAAGCCCACACCAATAACTAAAGTTCCTACTTTTGGACCATATTTTCTACCTTTTTACTTTTTCTTCAAAAAAAAACAAAAAGAAACCAAGCACTACACTTGCAGCAAGCTCTAATGCAGTAACACTAGGCATCTATGAAATCATGCCAAGAGAATGAAGAGAACATAGAGGCTTTGTTCTTTCATCTGCCCAACACCTTGTCACAACCTTGCCACAGACAAAAGTTCTCTGGTTGTCTAGTCAAAACTCTCTGTGATTATATAACTGCCATCTTACGACTTGATCTAAACAACTAATACAAATACAACAAGGACTAAATTAGCTTGAGAACCTTCTTTTTCAAATAAGATCACCAAACTTCCAAATAAAAGTCATGAAAAACTAGCTAGCAACCTAGATGCATGAATTTAAGATGTGGACAGACATAAAGCAAATATCATTATCATAATCGTCAAATTGTGGTTTTCAGTTTTCATGGTTTCGGATGGGTTTAGATTGGAACTTATTTAAAACTCATTAATATGTTTGTCGGACGTTTTGGGTGAGAGAGTTTCACCCTAAACTCATATATTTTAGAAAAAATATCACGAGAACTCATGAGTTGTCATGAAAGTTGTAATAGAGTTCTATTAGTGAATCCCTATTAAATTTTATTCATATTGAATCAGGAATCTCTATTAGATAATCCTATTTGTTTTATATCTTAATTATAATTTTTGCAATATTTTATAAAACAAATTAACTGAAACCTCAACTGAAACTAAATCACAAATTTGATAAAACCTTTAAAGCAAAAACTTCTATAAAGGGACCGAAACTGAGTTTTAAAACCTTATGTTGGCAAGAAGCCTCACGCGTCAAGTATTCTTGCACAAGCTTTCCAATAAAATATAGAGAAACGTTGCTAGATCATTTAATATCACAAACAATTCTAATAAGGATGCAAATATATTTTAATAAGCTACAAAAAAAACTTTAATTCCTTACACGTCTATGAAACAATTCTACATCATTTAAGACTTGTAGAAAATTGCTGCATATTTCTAGTGTCACAGTGACACTTTACCACCTCATCCCTAAAAATTTGGGTGAAATTTATAAGCAACCTCTTTCTTCAATGCTTTACAATTTCAAATAAACCAAAGGAAAAAACAAGTGATGCCCTGGGTAGTTCATACTCACTAATGCAAGTCCAGATAAGCCTTGCACAGGAATAGGTTGTGACCTTGGCTGAGTATCCCCAGTCCCAAGCTGACCATATTCATTGTTTCCCCAAGCCCACAACATGCCATCTTCTAGAAGCGATAAATTGTGGAAAGCACCAACTGCAATCAACCTAACCCTTTCGAGGCCTTGAACTCGCACAGGCATGTAAATCTGTTTGCTATAAATCAAAGTTCATCCATATGGTTTGTAAATTTTAATAATCATCCAAAGAGAAAGATGAATAAAAAGAAAAAAAAAATCAGCAAACTTATAGATAAAAGCAGATGAAGATTAACATAAGAAGAATCTTGTCATAAGAATGGAAAGCAGTTATAGCCTCCAGAGAAGAAAATGTTCATACATGTCTCCAGGAGGCCAAGGTTGACCCCATGTCCAAACATGACCATCTTCAGTTAACACCACAGAATGAGTACCTCCAGCAGCTACCTGAAGATTTGCAGCAATTAATAATACTGTAAGAAAATATCAATGCAAGCTCAAATAATAAAATCTTCAAAAACGAGACTGAGGTTGCTGTTTTACATAGCTAAAATCCGGGAGGACATGATGGGAAACTTGCGCGGATTTTTTTGAAAATTAATGCCTAGAATCAATCTAAATGAGTTGTTTGAGGTTCCACCGAGATGAAATCTGAATCAAGAATAAAGTGCACACTGCAAAATGATTGGCCCCTAGATTTAGGCTTTGTTTGGGACGGCTCTTCCTACTTAGTAAAGTGGTTTTCTAGTACAAAAATTTTGTACTAAAAAACCGCTTTAAGAAGTAGTAAGAAAGCTGTCCCAAACAAAGCCTTAATTTGCTAGCAAATTAATGTAGTTTATTATTGAAAATACCATTTTGCATATTAGAACAATGCATGTTAGTATGTGTTAAGGAATGAAAACTTGCAAATACATTATTGTTCCAATTAACATAAATTATTTCATCTTTCAAAAGCAGATCCTCCTAAAGAAAATATATTTGAGGTAAAGGATTATGCTGTTATTCCCCTTTATAATCCTTTATTGCGTTGCATCTCTTCCCAATCCTGGCCCATGGAATCAATCCCTCTAAGAATGTGACATATTCCTTCACTAGTGTTACCTAGCAACAACAAGATGATAATACATGTAGTAATAGAATATGAAAACCCGTTTGCAACATGATCAGGAAAGTGGCAAGTCCTTTTTGTTTATTCAGGGGGTAAAAGATAGTTGAATGTAGTAAAAGTAACTTGTAGTTGTTCTTACAAATGGAAACCTAACCAATTGAACTTGTTCCAACTACCTGTCGTACAGAAAGCTTGGGTGCACACCGCTGAGGGATGGTAATATCCCTCCTCAAAGCCTTACTGCCATCTTCTTTCTTCTCAGGCTCCTCTCCACACTGTCCATACTCATTTCCTCCTAGAAGATACAAAAACAAAGACATCATAAAATCATGATCTATATTTAAAAATAGCAAAGCAAAGCCATTGACAAGTTTCAATTTCCATGGTTTCCTCAGGCATTATCACTATCCAGAGAGCATCACTATCCAAATTAAGCAAGAAATAAATCTCAAAGATATCTGAAGATGGAAAAGAGAAACATAGATTATGATCTCTAGCAAGCATCATTACCCCATGCATATGCTCTCCCCTGGTCATCCACGGCAAGACAATGCCACCCACCTATGGCTGCCTGCAGAAAATCAGGAATTCAAAAAACTAAACACAATTACAAGTTAATTTCACAAGGGGGACTTTCTAACAGGTTTCTCTGACACACCTGGACAATTTTAACATCATCCAGTGCCTTGACGAGGCTAGGAACACTCTCAGTCTTGGTGTCCGGCGGATGGCCCAGGGTGCCTCTCTGGTTCCATCCCCATGTAAAAAGCTGGGTTTTTTACAGCGGAACAAGTGAGAAAGATTCCGAATAGAGCAATCCAATAGCAAATATCTGAAAGCTATGTAGAGAGAGAGACAGAGACAGAGAGAGAGAGAGAGAGAGAGAGAGAGAGAGAGAGAGAGAGAGAGAGGAACCTTTCCATCATCGCATATGGCAAGGGAGTTGCGGCTTCCGGCGACAACAGCGGTGGCATCACGACCCTCAAGGGCCTTCACACTGCAGACCCATTCCTTATCCACCCAGTCTCCCATACCCAACTGTCCATCTTCTCCTGATCCCCTGCAACATTTGCGTGGCCAACCTTAGATGAGGCAAAGCGATACAGTTCGTATACACTATAGTTAGGTGAAAAAACAAGCGACATGTAGAGGGAGAGTGAGGACCAGGCAAGGATTACGGAGTCGGAGGAGGGCTGGGAGTCGGCCATAGATGATTGATGACGTTGAATTGGGAAAGTGAGAAGGAGAGAGAGGGTTGAGTAGCTTCGTGGAGGCGAAGATGAAGTGCGCTCCTCTTCTATTTTTGGATTCTTTTCGTCTTAAATCTCAAGAGTTGGTCATTGTAAATTCATAAAGCAAACGAAGGAAAGGGCCTGGATTTTAGTTAGCGCCGGCAAAATTCGTTTTATAGGACATATTTTCTCTCTCCTTTTTTTTTCTTTTTTTTTATAAGTTCATAGGGCAGTGAAAAATTCGATCGACCTAGTATGCAACCCACATCAATTTACACGGGCCAACACTTAAGGCTTTCACTGCTTGCCAAAGGATTCAAACTAAGGACCTAGGCTTTGCCCAGCCGGCTCTTCACCACCCGGACAAACAGCGGTGGGTATTTTCTCTCATCTCGTTTAAGATATGTAGAATTATCAATTATGTGAATTTTTTGTTTTTAATAATTAGGGATAGAGCCTAATTTTTTCATAATAAAAATTAATTATAGCAAATCTAAGAAATCAAAATAATCTCGCAATGGAGTAGAGATGAGAAAAGTTGAGCTACAATCTATTTATTTTGTAGAGAAATTAGGAGCAGTGTCCAAGCTAGCATACAATATATAAGTGAGACTCGAACTTATGTCACTTAGTTCCGAGTCAAACTCCAAAGAGAGCTACATACAATCCAAATTTTAGTGATGCTAAAAAAGAGAAGCACGAAGGGTTGAAGAGAATACAATCATATGACATAATCAAAAAGAGTAAAAAATGATTAGAAATTAAAAAGATAAACATAAAATAAGCTTGGACTTCCCCTGGTTGCCAAAGGGGCCCTCTGAGAAGAAGCAAAGCAAGCAGCTGGTATAATTAGTCAGCATTGTCATAAAAGCACGAAAATGAGCAAAGATCTGAAATAATAAGGAACTTAGCACATAATCAGGCTACATATGCTGAACAAAATTAAATGCCTCTCGTTAAAAGAAAACAGCCAAATTTGTTTCTATGCAAATAGGGGCGGAGCCACTCATTTATTTTAGGGGGGGGGGAATTTTCATATAAATGGACTAATAATTTAAAAAATAAAATGTGGACGTAATTCAAATCAAAATCTTGTATTTCATTATGATATATAAATTGAAAAGTATTACAAATTTATTAATATGCTTTGTATTTTTTGATAATGTTGCATTACAACTTCATTGAGAATCAAATCGAACACATCTTTCTCAATGTAAGGCATCAGATAGTTATTGAGCCAATTATCACCCATCATACTACGCAAAAAATGTTTGATAATATTTATTGCATAAAATATTCTCTCACTTATAGTAGTAGCAACTGGTAAAATTAATGGCAACATAATAAGTATATAAACTAGAGGATATATGCCATCTTTCTTGACCTTAACAATTTGCTTTGTAAGATCAAAATACTATTTAGATAGAAGAACTCATCATTGTTATGCATATCAATAATATAAGTTGATAATTGACTTTTCATAATTCTCAAGTTAGTCATCTAAATTCTCCAAGCTTTTCCAATTAATCAAATAATTTATAATCAATAAGAATATCATAATATTTGTATTTTCTTTGATTTCTCCCTTTTTTAATACTTTAATGCATTACATGTTTGAAGCTTATTTTGTTTGATATTTTAATGCATTATATTTTTGAAACTTATTTTGTCATTTTTATTATTTTGAATTTAAGTAGGATGATCTAAAAATTGAAAAAACGAATTTAATATTCTATCTTTTAGATTAAACATTTAACTTTATTGAAACATTTTTTCTTATGACTAAAAAAAGATATTAATCATATTTAAATAATTATTATGCCTCTGTAAATCTGAATCAGCTTTTCTATGTTCTTATAGATAAAAAAATATTACATCGTCGCCTGAGAGATTCGAACTCTCGCGGGGAAACCCCATGTACTTAGCAGGCACACGCCTTAACCACTCGGCCAAAGCGACGTTGTTATTAAATAATGAATCTTTATTTATATATCTATTTAATTACTGAACCGACCGCATTAGCAAAAGCTGTGAATCGACAGGTTCGGTTCAGCTTAAGGGGTACTAATAGTTACGAACCGGTCTTTCAATTTGGTTTTGAATTTATTTGGTTTAGTTCAATTTTCAATGATTTTTAACTGATTGGACTCATTGTTTTTTTTATTAATGAATCAGTACATTGTGAAATGGAGAGAAAGATATGGCCAAAGAGCAAATCAATTGATAAATTGGGAATATAGTCTGTACATTGTTTTTAATCTATTAATGTTTGACTAATTTTCATTTAAAAAAATTTCATACCTAAATTAAATAAATCTATTTAAGAGAAAATCTCTAGGTCCTAGTTGGAAATAACTCTACTAACTATAGTTTAGGATTACAAAAGGCTACCATTTCTCAATGTTAAGGAAACTTGAACTATTGGGTGTTGGTGTTAGTTGAGTTGCGGTTGAATCAGGGATAATTCAAATTCAACTTCCCAACTTAATGGCAAGTTTGAACTCGAACACAAGTTTGAACCGATCTTATATGTCAAATTTGAGCTTAACCTAATGAAAAAAAAAAAAGCGAGCTCGAGCTTAACTCGTGAGCTCAACAAAAAATTGCAGTTGAAATTGGTTGGAGAAGAAAAACGGGAGCTCGATAAAGACTGAATTGATAGGGGATCGTTGAAGATGACAATAGCGACATTGGAGAAAGTCGCATCAGAATCTCTTAGGATTAGCTATTGACGAAAAAATGGTAGTCATGCAAATATGTTACTACAAGAGATTGGTAAAGAAGGTAATGATGAAATTAGCAGTGTCTGAGGAAGTGTCAATAGTAGCATGATAGAAAAGGCATTGACGATACTAGCATTTGAGAAGGCATTGATGGGACCTATGCTAGAGAAGGTGTCAACGAGATCAATGCTGGAGAAGAATCGATAGGTTCAAGGATTTTTGAAGAAGATGTGTTATGAAGATTTGTGGTTTCTAATCAAGTCAACTCATGAGCAAATGAGCCAAGCCTCATTAAGCATAAGATTGTTTAATAAATGAGCTCTAGCTTGTAGTACAATAAGCATGACTTGCAAACTCTTAGCCATCTTGAGTCACATACGCTTAATTAGGAGTATCTCTTACAACAGTAATTGAGTTTTGGAGGTGGTGCGGTTGATAGTTGGCATTGGACGACATCTAGGGTGGGTTGATGTTGGGGGTCAAGTGATGACGAACATTAAATAATGGTGAGAGTTAAGCGATGACGAACACCATGTAATAATGAGCTTGAAGGCCTAGAGAATGCTGGAAAGTTACTCAAGATGGATAGTTAGCGTGGTAGTTATCTTAAAAGAAAAGGAGACTAGAAAGGCTAATCTATGAAAAAGATAGAAATAATCGACTATACTCCCTTTAGTTGTTAAAGATTTAAAATTCTTTGCGATTAAATAATTCTATCTTAATCAGGAATATATTCAATTTTTGTAGAATTATGGATTAATTATAAACTTCAAGTGGAGAGAACATACCTTTTTATTAAAATCTATCAAATCAAAGCCTTTTTTAGATGATCCAAATCGCTCCCTTCCTTAGAACTATAATGTGACATGGCAATCCCACCCTTGGGTTGGTCTCTTGGGCTTACTTGGTGCAGGCCTAGCTTGAGCAACCAATTGGAGAGTGGTGATAATGGCCTAATAATGGTCCAACAATAGCCACCATTAGTTAGGTTTTTTATTTGTGAGTAGCGAGTATCATTTTCGAAACTCTTGAAATAATAAGTTCAATAGAATAGACAGAATAGAATCTTGAGGGTCATAATATTAAGAATTATTTTGTTGGATGATTATGAATTGAATTTATATCAACCAAAATTTGATGATAGTCCCCTATTTTAACATCAAAATATTCATCCATAGAGCAATCCAACACCTTAAATGACTCTTGAATCGAAGGCTTGTAGGAGTAATAATAATTATGAGAAGTTATCTCGATTAAATTAAGTAATTAGAAAGTAAAAGTAATAGAACATCGTTACTTGTGTTACGATATTTTAGCTTCTCAAAAGTAATCTAATAAAAAAAATTCAATATAGGAAAATCATGTATTACTGGCAGTCAGTACCGACGGTTATATAGTCGTTTGTAATAATGGCGGTTAGACCACCGGTAATAACCGGCGGTTATTTAATTAACCACCGACATAATTAACAATGATCTAATAATCGATGGTTAGGCTGCCAGTTTTATTTTTTACCTGCGCTTTACCGGTGGCTATTACCGACAATTATTTAATTAACCGACGATAGAATTAGCGGCGGTCTAATAACCGACGGTTAGACTGCCGGTTTTATTTTTTACCAGTGCTTTATCGGGGTTATTACCATCGGTTTTAAGTGAATTTTTTTTTCGGCGGTCTGAACTGCCGGAAAACCGCCAGAAAATACCCAAAATTTAGTCATTCCGAGCCTTCTGCTTCATTTCGTCGCATTCTCCTCTCTCTCGCTACAGACACTCGCCCCCACTCCTCTGCCCTCTCACGATCGATCGTGCCTCCTTTGCAGGAATCCGACCGCTGACAATCTCCCTTCGGCTGAAGATCTTGCCCCCACTTCGGCATCAAAAGCACGACCGCTTCCTATGCAGTTTATTCCGACGGTTTTTGAACCGCTGAAAAAGCGCCAGTAATTTACTAAACCGTCGGAAAAAATTTCCGATAACATTTGAATTTCCTGTAGTGATTGCTAAAAGAGGTTATATTATTTTCTCTCCTTAAATAAATAAAATGGTAAACATAAATGAACAAAATATTATTTTTAAATAAAATTTTGACCAATCTTCACTATTTTTGTCATATATTTTTACATTTTCTTTGTGGCATTCCTTCGAATTATTTTTCTAAGACTTCTTTGTCATTTATCATTCTTTCCTAATTTTTTTACGGGAAACTCTATTAACTTAACTCGATATTATTCTGATCAATTTTAGCAATTAGAATTATAAGGTTGCTATCTTCACCACATTTTTATTAACAAATATGAAAAAAAAAGTTCCAACATTTTTTTCCATAGTTTTTATAACATCCTTAATGAATCTTTATTAACAAAATCTTAATATCTTATTGGAAGAGTTTGCTCATACTGAGATTTAGCACAACAAGTAACATAGAAAACTTCTTAACCTTACTCAGATGTTTTAGAGAGGAAGGAGAAGAAGTTCCCTTTATAGATAAGTGGCTTTTGCATGCTCTCCTTAATCTAATTTTTGATCTACATATGATTAACTTTTTATATTATTTTCTTCCAAGAGAATTGCTTGACAAAGTGGATGTTGTATTATATAAATAATAAAATATAGATGTTAATAAGCGCATGACAAAAAATTTCGTGCTCATATAAATACCTATAATATAAATGTGCAAATAAAGATAAATCAATAAGGGCATCTCCAACCGAAAAATTCATTTTCCACTCTAAAATGCAGTAAAACTTCAAAATGTCGTAATTCATCTCCAATCGAACTGCATTTCATTCTTCTTTGACGTGCTTCCTGACGCTACAAAGGTAACAATCTCTCTCCTCTTTCGTACGCTTTTGTCTTCTTTCGCGCTCTTCTTCGGCACATTCTGCAACTCAATTTCTATTCACCTACGGAATTTTGAAGTGAGATTTGAAGTTCGAATACAACAAATGGTGGACGACATAGGATTGTATGCAGTCAAATTGGAGACCGTCTAAATAAAGTAAAATTATTATGTGCGGCGTCTAGATTCGTCAGAAGGCGAATCCGGACTCGCCACATCACCTAGGCCCCAGAGCATCCAGATGATGTGGCATGTCTAAATTCGCCTCCGAACCATCCGGACACCGCACGTTTATCTCTCATAAATAAAAGCGTGCACATCAGCAGCCCCTTTTCTCCTTTATTTAAAGCTGCCAGCCCATTTCCCCGAAGAAGTGGAGGGAGATATCCATCAGAGCTTACGTTTCAGTCACAGACTTCCAACCCCGCAGCCTTCTAAGAAGAGCCTGAGCCGCCTGTTTCTCCCAACTCGTTAACTATAACATATATCCTTGATCAAGAAACAAAGCAGACTTCAAACCAAACATTTCTTCTTCTTCTTCTTCTTCTTCATAGATCCTTGGAGAATCAATCAGCCATGGAAGACATCTCCGTCTTTTCTGCTTCGCCTGGTTTTCTAATGAAGATGGCGATGTTCGCAGTGATTCAAGTTCTGGTGTACCTTATCCTCTCCAACTCCTCCGCGATTTTCTCGGCGAACGACGGCTCCCACAGCCTTCGATCATCTCGCTCGGCCAGCATCCGTCGCTTGCTGGCCGGAGTATCAGATCTCCCGTCTCGCGGCGAGCTCACCTGCAATACTTTCCCTTCTTCCTCTGCCTGCGCCGCCGCGGTCTCTGGTGCGCTCTTCAGCTATGATTTCAATGAAGGTTTACTTGATTAGAGCTGGAAAATTTAGTATTTTCCTTTAGTGGAAAATTGGATCCTGGTTTATTTTGTTTGGAAGATTGGATAATGTAATTAGTCTAATTATAAATTATAAAATGTTCATTTTAAGTATTTTTATTTTATATTATTTTGTGAACTCCTCAAATATACCTCAAAGTAGGAGTTTTCAATATACTCTCATTATGCCCTTATAATAAATTCAAGCAAAGCCAATCATATATTAATTTTTTTTTATAGCAAAGCTACAATAACAACAACAACAACATCAATTTTTAATCCACTGCATGAAAATTTATGTCATGATTGTTCAAGAAGATTATGCAGATTGTTGATTATTTAATACAACCCTTCATTTTTCTCATCCATAAGTGGAATCTGATTGTGTCAATCTAATGGGTTGTATTGATGCCACAAATTTGTCGTGCTCTTTGGGAGGGGGGTCCTCCTGCTTGCACTTTATACCCGAGTGCTCGATGATGTGTATCCGAGCACCCCAGCATTACATAGTTGGCTTGGACAATGGTGGAGCCAGAAATTTATCATAGCTGGAGCTTAAATATATCATTTCAACATTTTTCTCAACTTTTTTCATTCGGATTTGCATCTAACTATGAGTGTGGCCGTAAGTAATTCATAAAAGTTTGCCTTAAATGTTGATATCTTCAGCAGGTCAACAAACAAGTAGACTATCTATTCATAAAGGCATAATGATTACAAATCAAATGATCAAGATCTCATCTGGCTTACTTGTGGAAAATACTTTTTCACTGCTACATTTCATACTTATGTAGCAGTGCCCCCACAAGCCCCCCTTAATCCTCCTTTGCGCTTGGAGAAAAGACAGAGAGTAGATCACTACATCACTCAATATCTGGTGAATTTTTATGTTATTTTTCTTTCAAGATAATTGCTTGACAAAAAGGATGATATATTATATAAAAAATAAAATATAAATGTTAATAAGCGCATGACAAAAAATTCCGTGCTCATATAAATACCTATAATATAAATGTGCAAATAAAGATAAATCAATAAGGGCATCTCCAACCGAAAAATTTATTTTCCACTCTAAAATGCAGTAAAACTTCAAAATGTCATAATTCATTTCCAATCGAACTACATTTCATTCTTCTTTAACGTGCTTCCTAACGCTACGAAGGTAACAATCTCTCTCCTCTTTCGCACGTTTTTGTCTTCTTTCGCGCTCTTCTTCGGCACATTCTGCAACTCAATTTCTGTTCACTTACAGAATTTTGAAGTGAGATTGGAGTTCAAATACAAGAAATGGTGGACGACATACGATTGTATTTTGATATTGTACTACATCTAATGGAAATTGATTTTCGTATTTTGATATTGTTAGGCTCGATAATGAATGAGTCGAACATGCATAAAATATTTAACTAGTTAGAGAACTACGATGGTTAAAAGAATTGAGCCAATAAAGAGGCAAATAAGACCCAAGTCACCCAACTCATTTTGTATGTCTTTACATAGGATTTTTGATGAGCTATGAGTGTGGATGTAAGTATAAAAGTTTGCCTTAAATGTTGATATCATCAGCAGGTCAACAAACAAGTAGACTATCTATTCATATAGGCAAATGATCAAGATCTCCTTTGGCTTACTTGTGGAAAGCACATTTTCAACTGCTACATTTCATGCTCATGCAGCACGTGCCCCCACAGACCCCTCTCAATTCTCCTTTGTGCTTGGAGAAAAGACAGAGTAAAGCACTACATCACTCAATATATATGGTGCTACGGTGTTTTCATATTGACTGGAGATAGAGCATTGAGAGCTGCGATGCTCCAAACTATCACTGAAACGCTGCGAGGTCCTCTAGATAATTTTTCTTTCTCATTGTTCTTAAGGGTGGTGTCCTTTGATGGTATGTATTATATCTTTTTGTTTGTTCTTATATAAAAAATAGTAAGAGAGAAGGGAAGCAAAGAGAGAGTGAGAGAGAAGAGACATTTAAACTAATTCTTTCATATTTCATAGTGAATTTCTTGATATGATGTAACTTCGTGAATTTTTCCGCATTTTAGAATTTTTCATGTTAAATCCTAAAGCTCTTTACTTTCTATTATATTTCTATTTTTTTCTTTGTTATGTTCAATACATATTTTACTACCACCCACAACACCTGATAGCAATAATGCTAAAATTCTATAGCATAACATTTTTGTTTTACCATCCTAAATTTAGGGGCGTCAAGAAAGCACAATATTCCCTCATGCATGTTATCATCTTTAATTCAAACTAAAAATAACAACTAATTTAATTTTAACATTTAAAATAAATTACATTTAATATATATATACAGAGAGAGAGAGAGAGAATTGCTTCAAACACAATAATTTTAAAATTAAGAATATTAAAATTGTTGTCTATATATTTTTATAAAGTAAAAAATAAGCGACTCAACTTAATTTTTGTAGTTAAAATTATTTTAAAAAATAGTAAGAGAACCGTACCAAATAAAACTTTAATCAATTCTTCTTTTAAAGACAACGAAGCTAAGAATAAAATAAGACCTCTTACCGCAGACAGAACTTACTCTTTTTTTTGGGTTTGAAAACAATGAAGCTAAGAATAATAAAAACACTTCTTAGGGCATCTACAACCGAAAATCTCATTTTTCACTCCAAAATACAGTGAAACAAAAAAATGCCGTGTTTCATCTCCAATCGAACGCCATTTTGCCGCTTAACCGTCGCTTTTCTTTCGCGCCTTTCTTCCGAACCTATTCGGTAGAGAGAAAAAAATGGCGCAGATGAACAGTGCAACACCAATATTGGCGTCACACTATTCATCCGCGATCAAATGACGTCAAAAATGACGATCGGTTGGAGCAAAGCAAGAATGTCAAACAAGTGTTTGCCGTTCCATTGGAGTTGCACTTACCGCATACAGAACTAATTCACAAAAAACGAGAACAAATCAATGACAGGGTAATCCATTTCAAATATTTATCCGTTAAGTATTGGCTGACATTACATACTTCGAAACATTTTTTTCAAAAGAGTTTTTCATTTCCAAATTGATGTAAATGATGCAATTCGATGAGGTAAACTTAACCAAAAGACGGCTTATTACCGCGTTCTACAAGCCCAAAATAAAGCTATCAATATAAAGCATTTCAAGGAAAAATAAACTCTCAAAATTTTTCCAGAAGCTTCAATTGCACCTACATAAGTTTTTGGATCAGAAGCAAAACAAGTAAGAGAGCAGATTTCAAATTTCCAACGTTAAAATTGCTTACCAAGAGGCATCAGTGCAAGAACTCCACTGAGAAGACGCTGAGCTTCCTCCAGATTACTTGAAAAGCTGTTTTAATCTCCTAGAAGCTTCAAGGACATTTTCGCGGTGGCCAAACGCACTGACCCTGATGAAACCTTCACCTCCAGGCCCAAAGCCGCTCCCTGGCGTTGTGACCAGGTGGGTTTTCTGGAGGATCTCGGCGAAGACATCCCAAGAGCTTCTACCAGGGAAATGTACCCAAACATATGGAGCATTCTTCCCTCCATAGACATTAAAACCAAGAGAAGTGAATGTGTCAACGAGTATGTTAGTGTTCTCTTGGTAAAAGCTAACCACATCTTTCATGGCCTGTATAAATTGGTGTTCAATATCAGCTGGTTTTATAGCTTCAGTTCCTTCAAATTTATATGCTGAAATCTTAGAAAACTGACCTTTAAACCATCTGGAGAGAGACAAGCCAGACCTCCAGCTTGAACGACATTAGATGCACCATTGAAGCTGGTGCATACTATGCGATTGAAATCCTTGGCTACTGGAAACCCATCAGTGAAAAGCAATTCCTTGGGAATAACGGTCCAGCCGAGCCGAACACCGGTGAATCCAGCATATTTGGAGAAGGATGATATCTCAAGGGCAACCTGCAGTTGCATCGTAAACATAAGAACTATGCATGTCATTGACTACTAAGGGTTTCGGCCAAAGGGGTGGAACAGAGCCGACGAAATTGAAAATAGAGCAAAAGCTTTTCTTCTCCTTTTTCTCTTGTTTCATCATATATTTATCAATTGGATTGTCGAGATGGAGTTATGGTGATGAAGCATTGCGTCATTTGGCAAGATGGGGCAAGATTGACAGAAGGTTGGTTGTTTCATGGAGAGACGCATCTGTTTGAATTTTTCCTTTTCATTATTTCGTTTCATTTAATTTTTTTTTATTAGTCAACAATTGTATTTTGCTTGTATAAGCAGATTCAAACTCATAATCTGAATTTGAATATGCTTTAATGATATTCCCTTTAGCTGGGGGGTCGTGCATCTCCTCAGGTTTGACAAAGATATCTCTTTTTTCTTTTGTGTCACTTCCCAAGTGAAAAACAACTCCATTCAGCTTTTGGATGGAGGGTTAGTGAGTTTGAAGAGAGTTGACTTTGTCTTCTTTCTCTTTCTCTGCTTCTTAACACCCTTCTCAGGTGGCTTCGTAGCCCTTTGATGTAGATGCCTCGGGTTTGAATGATTAAGACAACTTTGGTTTTTTGGAACAAAATATCTAGTATCTTAACAAATTTGCATTTTGTGCACCACGAAGGGCTCTACATCACCAAATATCTTTAACTCTTCTCCATCCCTTGTATGCTTCATGCATTTGTGCAAGGTCGATGGATTGATATCGTACTCATGGAGCCACGACCGACCTAGAAGTGCTTTGAAGGAGGTATCTGTATCAATTACATAGAATTTAGCATCCGTGTAGAGCTTCCCAAATCAAAGGGGAAGGATGACTGATCCTATTATTTTCTGCCCTTTTTGTTAAATCTGTGCATCATTACTTGCTTCACTTGAGATGCTGGACATCAAGAGACAACCTTCTTAGTGCCCGAAAATTCATGAGATTAACTGAGGAGCCTAGACCGACCAAAATATGGCTTACAGTGACACAATTACTCTTAGCTATGACATAGGGCGGTTATACTCCTTTTCCCCAGTATGACATCATCCTTAGAAAAGGCAATAATTGGCTCATTCTGTGCTCTCAGAACTTTACTCAGATAGCATTCAAAGAGGTATGATGCTTCATACCTCTCTAGATCCTTAAGAGATTGAATTAAAGTTTCACAAAGGTCCTTCAACATCAGAAGTGCTTCATATATGTTGATCTATGCAAGAATATTTCCTTGAAGGGATAAGATATTATAGCCTACTCCTTTACCAGAAATGAATGTGTTCTTGCAATCATTATGAATGATTTCTTCAATGATCATAATATTTTTCCTTCCATCCTTGTGTGATGATCTTTTATTTGGTGGAGGTGGTAGTATCCTACCACTTCTTAGTTGAACTTGGATCAATTAATTTGTATCCAATTCTTCCAACCAAGCAACTTCCTCTATCTCTTTAGAAGATTGGTTGACAGGTTCAAAAGTATTGTCCAACCTCATACAGTACATCAGTGATGCCATCGTAGATTATGAATCACTTACATTAGGAAAGCACAAGTAACCTGAGCTATCATGTGTCTATATATCATCAAACAACACTCAATTGTCATATTGCCAAAGATCCCCCATTTTGTTGAGGCAAATCTTGACTTTTCTTTTGTATTGTGTTTATGGGAGTTCTTATCACTGGACTCTTGCTATGAATCTGAAAGGAAGTTCTCTAATAGAAGTTCGACATCATCGATATGACTTGACATGTTTCCAATAAAAGGGATTCCTTAATTTCATACCCTTCATCTTCTTCTTTAGCCTCAATAATCTAGAGTCCATATATGAAATTGGTGAGCCTAAGAAGTTCGTTGATGGGTGTTCGACATCGTTGATATGACTTGACATGTTTCCACTAAAAGGGATTCCTTAATTTCATACCCTTCATCTTCTTCTTTAGCCAAAATAATTTAGAGTCCATATATGAAATTGATGAGCCTGACAAGCTGTTTTGCAGGCAAATGATAATCCTTCAAATTATTTATAATATTTTGGGTTATAGTCTTCTTTTTCTTTGACATTCGTGATTGATTTTCATTTTTGGTTCTTTTGATAAGCTTTAACTAGACCGTAATGAGCTAGCTTGATCTAGATACCCTTTGCTTGGAAGCTTGGGAATAGGTACCTTTGCACTCGATTACTCTTTCAACTCGAGCACTAGTTCAAAAGAGATTTCCATTTGATGCCTGAAACTCTTTCAAGTTGCTTTAAAATTTTTACTGTCTTCTTTGATACCACAGTCTCACATTCTTCATCTTATATTGACTTTTCTTTAGTTATTCCTTTATCCAAGGATATAGAAGAGTACGTGACCACCCTTGTCGATTCTCTTCTCAAGCGAACCAAAACAACCTGATAGTGTTTATTCAACCTTCATGTGTTTTTGTTCTAACCAATCTTTGAATACATAGTAGCCTACAATGAAATGGTTGATCATCATATGTATTGTCAATAATTAGAATTGTTAGTAAGTGTTAACCTTTGTAAAAATCACACTAAATAGGGAAGAGGCCAAAATCCAATGTACATACCTCTTACCCACCAGATCCTCGAATCCTGTCGAAGTCGTGCCGATTCGGCGCCGTTCGCGTCGCCTCCCACGAATCCCGCATCTCGCCTCGATCCCGCTCCTTCATCCGCCTTTAAAACGAGAACGAAGGGTTCGTTCCAAAGGGCTATTCTCCAGTTCTCTCCCTTCCCACGACCAAGCTTCCACTCTCTTCCTCCCTCAGCCCGACCTACTCGTGCCGTTGTTCTGCCCGATCCAAACCAAAGAGCCGACGAACCTTACCTTCTCCCGTCGAATCCCTGTAGCCAACGACCGAACTCCTCCCAACGCTAGACTCCATCTCCTACGAAGAAATCCCTTGTCCAACCTCTCGGTCCTCCGATCCCGATCCTCACAGAGAGAGAGAGAGAGAGAGAGAGAGAGAGAGAG